CACTTGATGGTCCCGGATAGAGGTAAAAGTCTAGAGTGGGGTGAATAGACTTTTAAAGCTTTTTCAACTTTAAAAAGTTTTCCCATCTAGATGAGTTGATCTATAATCTTTTGGGAGATTTATAGATGCACAGCGGAAGTCTTTAACCTCTTAGATAAATAGTGTATAACAACTTTCTATGATGGATGAAGTTTGGACTTTATGTAGTGAGCTGTTGGCTTGGCAGTAGACTGGATGGCAGGGAACAGGTGAGGCAAGTGCTGAGGAAATATTGAGTGTTTGATGAAAGTGCAAGCAGAATCTTTATCAGAATGAAAATGGCTTTCTGATGATGTAATGAGATGGGTTTATAATCAATCTTAATGAGAGCAGTGGTCTCAGCAGTTGGGTAGTAACCAGGGAACTGCTGAGGTACCTGCTTAAGTGAAAATGAAGATATGGGAAGACTGATTATATAATATTGCTCAAGGTGATGAGGGCTTTATGAAGATGTGTTTTAATACAAGTAACTGAGAGTTTTACTGGAGCAGTGGTCTCGGCAGCTAGGTGGTAATGAGGGAACTGCTGAGGCACCTGCTAGGTTTCAGCTTAAGTTTGAGAGATTAGTTTGAACAGACTCCTCGGTGGGAGTGTTGTGAAGTCGGGTGAAGTTTGAGATGTTCAAAGGAAATAAATTTGTATGAGCAGTGGGCTCAGCAGTTGGGTAGACATCAGGGGACTGCTGAGGCAACTGCTATGCTTTTAAGATGATTTCCTGAGATCTGATGGAGCAGACCTTTTAGTGGTGATAGTGCAAGACTCTTGTGGAAAGATTGTCTCAAAGAAAGTGAGTTATTAAGCAGTAGGATAAGCAGTAGGGTCAATTAAGACTACTTTTTAGGATGATGCTAGCAAACTACAATCTTTTATGAGAAGTGTTTGGTGTGTGCTTTGTTGACTGAAAATAAATCAACACACAGTATATCCTGGTTCAGAGGTGGTGTAATCCTCCTACGTCCAGTCCCACCCTCTTTCAGATGGATTTCCACTAAAGTATTAAGCCCAATACACTTAGTGTCAATCTAGCCTTTACAACACTTAGGCCTAGATTAAGTCCTTAGACTTTTTTTAAATGATCCAGTGAGGATCAAAAGGTACTTTATCTATCTAACCACACTTTAGGATCCGAACAACTGTTCTCCTAAGTGTTTACAACAATTTGTGATTTGTTTACAAAAAAGTTCTAACCTCCAACTAGGAACTAAACTTCTAGGATTTAGCACTTAATACTTGTGACTAAGAAGTTTAGTGAAGCATGAGTCTAAGCAGAGAGTAAAGTATAGATTCGCACTCTCTCTTTTGCTAGTTAGCTCGTGAAGCTCAAAGGAAATATTTCTCTACTTAGGATGCTCAAGCTTGGTTAGAAACTTTCGTTTCAACCTATATTTATAGGCTTCTCCTATTAATTAATCTCATCCGTTGGTTAGGATGGATTAATCTTGTTCGTTGAATGTCTGGCAAGGACGAATTGTACATTCGTCTTCTTGTACTGGAGCATTGATTGATTTTTGTTTCCTGTCTTGAATGATTGCGCCGCGGCATGGGTGTGTCCAGGCATAATTCAGCCGCTGCAACTTCACTCCAAAAAGGCGTCCATGCTATACTCGTTTTAGCATTTAAAGCCGGTCCAATTTTGTCTTCCGATCATACATGTATGTGATTTTCGAACCTTTATTATTTTTGTGACAGGATTAATTTTTGCGTCAAATAAATTTATATTGGTAGGATTTAAATATCCTTTGTAAGGTAAAAAAATATTACCTTATTGTATTTTAACTTCCAAGCATAATTTTATTAGTCTCAAAAATTGTACATTTATTTTGTCACTTTTGAACATTAATACTCGAATTAAATTAGACACAATGTACTAGTGCAATATATAGTGGCATCATCAAAATCTATCAAAATTGGGTACTAACGGGAACTACTGTTATATTTTATGGATTAAGCGCGGTTATTGTTTTATGCATAATCGCCCAATACCCGCCTGTTTATTTTGAATATAGTTACCCACAACATAAACCATCAACCCCTTTAATTAATTCATCATCATCATTACCCCAATGCTGAAAAGGCTCCCACTTACGGTAGGGTAAGGACGGGTCGGAACTCGGATGTACGCAGTCTTACCCCTGCACTAAAGCAAGAGAGACTGTTTGCGGATGACCCATAGTGAAAATCGCATCGAAAATTGCATGGACTGACTACTGCTTCATAACAAAGAAGCGCAGACAGTTTAGTGAACCATTTTGCTTTATTCTATCATATTCCTAAGCCAAAAAAAAACAGCGAGTCTTTAGCTCCATTGCAAATGATGAAAAAAAACCCTTTAATTGATTATTTAAATAAATAAGATACTACAAATAGTACATGTGCACGAAGAGATTTGAAATTAGTATACATATGCAAATACATATAAAGAAATACATATATTGTTTAGTGATTAAAATATATTCAAAATATATACTCTATTTGTCCCAAAATGAAACTGTTTAACTTTTTGGGCTTAAAGATTTAAAAAGTGTGATAAAATGGCAACTTTACCCTTAATGGTTACTTTTGGGTAAAGCAGTGGGAGGAAAACGGTAAAGGAAGACTCAAAAGGGAAATAGGGATAATATAGGAATTTTAACCAAAAGTACTTGCCAATAAAGGAAATGTTACTTTCCATTTTCTCCCTCAAATAGCAAGTAGCAACCCCTTCCACAGTCTGGATATGGGGTGTTTATAGGTGAATAGTGGATGAGCTTTTGTATGTGTGACACATCAGTGACTTCGACTAGCTACGAGAACAACATGTGTCCCTCTCTGGTGGAAAGTCTGGCAATACACTATGTGGCAGAAGGGCACGAAGATCAAGGGATTAGATACTGTCTGTTGAATCCCAGGATTCTTTGGAAACCATAATTTCTCCATCTAAATCCGCACTTCTTCCTTGAATCTACCACTCCTTTGAGTTGAGGATTGTCGATGTGAAAAATAGTAATTATTCCTGTTGGGGGCGAGCCTGTGCCCAACGCCACCATCGCTGTTGGATATTTGGTGTTTGAGTTCCTAAAACAGATCCTTTGAGGCATTATATGTGGTTGTAAAGGTTTCTGGCAGCTGTCGCAATGTGCCATCTCCAGATAGCACATGTGGCTATGGTACATACACGTGGGTGTCAAGTCAAATTCAAAATCATGGAGCCCAGAGTTCAGACAATCTGTGGCATGCACCACCATGGTATGGCCACGTTGACTTTGTTCTGAATTTGAATCGACAACTGGCCAAGTTAGGGTTTCGGCCCAAAGCATTCACTCTTTGGTGAAGCTCTGTTAAACCAATAACACGCCTTTGCCCATCCCAGATTCCAGCCGTCGTTTCTGAAGGTCAGTTTCGCCTTTTAATCTCCTTCCCTTTGTTCCATATCATATGTTCTTACACTCTAATCGTCAAATTAGGCACAATTATAGGTCTCCTTGCTTAAAGCTCAAGGTTTTCCCAGCTTCCTGCTGTAGTTCATCTTCACATCTTCAAATTCAATCTTTTGTTTATTCAAGCTTATTTCTTCAGAAATTGTCCATGTTTTGGGGGGATTTCCATCAAATCCCGTGTTATTCTGAGTTTTTGGGTTTCAGATATTCGAATCTTGCATTTGTGGAGAGGTTTTAAATTAATTGTTCTAGCTCTCAACTATAGCAGCACACAGTGGTTATTAAAACCATAATATGAGAGAGAGAGTATAACTCAAATAAAGTAAATCAACTCCTTCCATAGTCTAGATATGAGGTATTTGTCGGTGAATAGTGAGTGAGCTAGGCTACTTGCATGTTTACACGTGTCCCTGGCCACCTGCATGAATGATGTGCATCCTTCTGCTAGCTACCAGAACAACAAGTGTACGCCCCTCTCAACACGTGTCCCTCCCTAGCGGAGAGTCTGGCAATCAGTGCCATGTATCCAAACCAGGACAGGAAAGTTTCTTGTGACACGGATGACATCAGCCTTTCCTTTACTAGCAAGCATTTCACACGACTTCCTTATCTGGAGCCAAGGCTGAGGCTGCTACACTCACGCTTCAAACCAGGACGGGAGAGTTTCTTGTGACACGGATGACATCAGCCTTTCCTTTACTAGCAAGCACTTCACACGACTTCCTTATCTGGAGCCAAGGCTGAGGCTGCTACACTCACGCTTCAAACCAGGACGGGAGAGTTTCTTGTGACACGGATGACATCAGCCTTTCCTTTACTAGCAAGCATTTCACACGACTTCCTTATCTGGAGCCAAGGCTGAGGCTGCTACACTCACGCTGGGTGGGAAGGAAGTCTAAAATTCAAAGGCCTAGGGGTCCGTCGGGTAAATTAGAATAAGTATGACGTCAGAAGTGTTTAAATTAGAAAAGCATACATTGTTTTCACAGGCTCACAAGAAAAGTAAGACCGCCAAGCTATGATAGGGGATGTATTTTCTATTACAGGAATTAAGGGGTCCACATCATTTAAAATGTAAGGATGTCAGGAGAGTAGGAGACTTGGGCTGGAACCCCTCTCTTTCCACTGGTGTGTGATCAAAGCTCAATTTACATCCTACCATATAACTGCCTGGCTGGTTCTGGGGCCCTTAGGGATGGGGTGTCATCCCTTTTTTCAAGATGTCAGGTTGTGTTTGATTGTCAGGGTGCATGAGTGTTGAGACAGATAATATAATCCAAGTCCATAGAGTGAAACACGAAACCTTCTTCCTCTCAATCTATAAAACTATGTGTCCATTAAGCCCAAATTCCCAATATGCCTAAATCTGTTGTGGGTCATAATGCTATTATCTTAACTTTCATATTAACTTCTCCCATGGCAGGCTTCAAACTATGCAAACATCACCCTCCTCTGTCTTGTTCATATCATGCAATAACCCTCTGACCAATCCTCAAGGATATAAGCATATCATTCCAGACAAATTAAAGAAGAAACCAGCAAAACCTGATAATATACAGTGAGTTCTCCCAGAACTGCACGAGCACATCTTGTTACAATCTCTTCCGCCATATTCATCATGCTTTGATAGTCTGAATATGCTTCATACATCTAAAGAATAGTTTGGATAATAAAATAGGTAAGTAACTTATGCATTGCCCAAGTAAAAAATAGGTAAGTAGCTTGGTCTGACAAAACGCTATTATAAAAGCGTTTTAAGAAAGAACGTGTGGTCTCACGGTCAGTGTTTTTACTCGAAGCAAAAATGCTTTTTCTGGATAGAGACACAAAAGTAGTATTTCCGTTGTGTTAAAAACTTTTGAATTACACAAACAATTTAAATTAATAGTTTAAACTCACAAAAAAACACTTTTTACAATTCCAAATACAAACGGGTATTGTACAAAACATCAATGCAATTCCAGTGCTAAAACATTCAAGCAACATAATTGTAAATTTTACCTCTATAGTAGTAAATTCAGGGTTATGACGCGTCGAGATGCCTTCATTCCTAAATATCCGGCCCAATTCATAAACTTTTTCGAATCCACCGACCTGTCATTAGGAAATAGCGATATTTTTGCTTAGTATTGTTAGTGCATACATATGGTGATGTGGCCAACAATGTATGGTCTAAGTGCGAAGACATTAGTTCCATAAGCAAGGTCACGTGTTAAAGGTTGTGAATGTAAAACCAGCATTGCGGAAGCTCTCCCCAAATCAAGCCTTTGACATCAGATAAGTCAAAATCAATGTAGCTACTGAATAATATCATAATACACATCATGGCACCCAGAAGAAATACTTTAGACTATGACAATGTCATTTAAATATGGGAATTTTATCAATCCACGACCTGGTAGATAGGTTCACTATCAATAAAGGACCTGAAAGATAAAGTGTGTTGATATAGGGTCCGAATGATCGCAAACTATCATTCAAAGACCTAAAATATCATAGATTTTGATTTATTTAAATTTTTATTAATTCCATTGCTAATTCTTGATGATTTTTTCTTCACAGAAGTTTATTAGATTAATAAGATTAAATAATATTTAATTTTTTAAAAACAAAAAAGAAACAAAACTCATGGTACTTTAGGTCTTGGATTGATAGTTTTCAATCATGGACCCTATTTTGAGATACTTTATCTTTTAGGTTCCTTATTGATAGTCAACTTAACTTTCAGTTTCTGGATTGATAAAATTCCTAATATATACGGCAATGCTTGGTGTACAAGTTTTTTGTACACATTTGAACATTTTGTCTATGTACACATACAACTTCCAAAATTACTTCATTCTTTTAGATGAATTACTTTCAAATTGTAGGGGCGCGTGTACAAAATGTGTACAAATAAAATTTCATAATATATATTCATTTAAATGTGTTTGCGCATGTGAGCATGTGCATGCAATCATGATTACACAAAGCTAAAAGTAAAACCATATTTGTGAGAATTTGCTAAATATGTACATCATGCAACTTCAAAAATTACTTCATTCTTTTAGATGAATTACTTTCAAATTGTAGGGGCGCGTGTACAAAATGTGTACAAATAAAATTTCATAATATATATTCATTTAAATGTGTTTGCGCATGTGAGCATGTGCATGCAATCATGATTACACAAAGCTAAAAGTAAAACCATATTTGTGAGAATTTGCTAAATATGTACATCATGCAACCGTGTGCACCTTGCTACGTGTGCCCACATGTACGATTATGAAAGTTTTTTAATCATATTATGAATGTTGTACTATTGGTGGAAAATAAACTTCTTTTTTGTAACTTGTAACACATCGCCCAAAAAATTACATAAGACATGGTGACTCAAAAAAAAAACTAACCAACATTCGCTTCAAATGGAGCTCAGTCGCAATTCTCAAATAAAGATCCCTTCCAAGAGAATTGTGGTACGTAATAAACGGCCTAGCTTCAGCTCCACCAGCTGCACCCTAGTAGATGAAGTCAATCAGTCACAAAACATTTTGCAACTAAAATAGAGAGATTCCAAACTATGATGAGTTCTTTAAAAATTATATTTTGAATGGTCCGAGTAAAGAAATGTATAAATTATTTAGCGATATGTGCACATAATTAATTAGTATCTCCATATTGAAATATCATATCAGAAATGGAAATTGGAAATTTCGAACCCATGAAGCAACGCAATAAGAAAAACCACACACCTGGAGGACTGGTGTTTCGACTTCAACAAAGCCAAAAGATTCAACTGCTTTTCGAATTTCCGAAACAATCTACTGAAAATAGGCAACAGTGAGATCTCTATTCCACCCTAAGGCAATCGTGTAAAGGTATGATCCATCATCAACTAAGAAAACATGCAGGAAAGGATGAAGGTTGACAAGTTCTACAAGCAGCAATGCTTCTGCTACATTCAACTACTACATACTAAGCATGTCAGAAACCTAAAGGATAATTAGTAAACAAGGATCATTTTCATTTACCCCAGTGCCGTAAAGGCTCCCACCTACGGTGGGGTAAAGGGGGGTCGGATGTACGCAGTCTTACCCCTGTACTAAAGCACAGAGAGAATGTTTCCGGATGACTCATAGTGAAAATCTCATCCAAAATTGCATGGACTGACTGCTGCTTTATAACAAAGAAGCGCAGAAAGTTTAGTGAGCCATTTTACTTTATTCCATCATAATCTCAAGCCAAAAAATAATGAATCTTTGGCTCCATTGCAAACAGTGTTTAAATCTTTAAATCTTTAAACAAGGATAAGGTCTTTAAATCTTTACTTGAGGAAACAGTGTTTTTTCTGAACTATAAACAGGAAACTCATGGCTGAAAGTAAGAGTTTTATAAGGTGGCATCAATAATCAATCCAGGAATAAAAAACAAAAGACTAAGAACAATCAAGAGGCACAGTTTTTCATGAATTCATGCATCAATAAGATACGGACATATCTTTTAAGATGGGGTAATGAAATTTGAACACAGTGTACTTCGATATTTAGTACTTAATGACCAAAAATGTACAGCTGCTGAGGCAAAAGATGTACTACAATAAAGGATGTGTCAATTTGGTGATGCTGAAAAATAAATGAAGTGATGCATCAACTTTACATCCTACCTTTGCCCTCTTGCGAAGGGTATCAGCTACCTCAGGGTTTGCAATCATATCTACATACCTAAAATTATGTGGTCAAGTATTAACAAAAAACGAACAACTTCGAAAGATAAGAAAATCAAGGCAAATGATTCCTAAGAGGGAAACTCCCATGTCGATGCAGTTAGTACATGTATTGCAACTAGGCGTGCAGTGGTAGTTTTTACTGAATGTAAATATGTAATACATAGTACTATTTCTACGCCTACTTTCTAATTAATCATTAAATTAATAAGAAAAATCATATAATCAGCATATTTACAAGCATACATTATTGGCTCATGGCATGGACATGTTAATGACAACAAAAGTATAGTAAATAGATACGCTATACTACTAGGAAAATGCCCAACCACATAGGTTATAAACACCTACACTAGACTCAGTATAGTACTTCATTACCCCCACACACTTGTAGGTACTACAACATTATGAACATATATCTGAAGTTCTCACCTCTGCCGATAGCGCTTATCTACATCTGTTAGGCCATGATACTTGTCCGGCAATGGAAGTAGGGACTTTGTAAGAATTGAGAATGAATTCACACAAACTGATAGCTCCCCTGGAAAGGAAACAAGTAAATTAATCATTTGGAACCCTCTAGAGCCCATTTGTTTCGTTGTAACTTAACTGCTTTCCATGTAATCTTAAGGACTGGATTATGAATGCAATGTTTGTTCCATTTTAATTTTAATACTTTCCTTGAATTTTAAGTTCTAGATTTTTTGCGATGTCTGTTTCTTCATTTTGCTACTTAAAATAATTGGGGTCCATGTAATCTTCCAGTGAAATAATTCATAAGGGTGACAATGTGAAACTGAAACGCACAGTGAAGGAAATAAATAGCAGGTAACTTAATCGTTTACAAAGTTCCTAACAGACTCCCATAGTTTCATGATGCTTGTCCAATATTCAGTAGCGATTGACAGTGGAAGGTCATAGAATTGAATGTGTATGGACAACCTTCAGCTACTAAATAATTGTGCAAAAAAACTCATTTTTAGGCAACGCCACAACAGATCAACAGTTCATACAGAAATATTTGTTTAGAGTGACTACAAATATTAGGTTAAACATGCAAACAAAAGAGTAGGACACAGCGATGCAAATTGAATGGTTACCTTTCTCAGTCCGTTTAATTGAACCACAAGCACCCAAAATATCTCCTACATCAACGAGTGTCTTCAACTGGTCAAATTGATCACCGTTGAGCCTTTCCTTCTCACAGTAGAGCTAAAGCCAATAATAACTCACTTCAGCACAACAGAATGAATTTCAAATTGTCAATACAAATGTAAGTGAAAGAACTGTAATCTAGTTTATACAGATAAACCAAAAGATCTTGGACATGAGAATTTCAAGAAAACTCATGTCACATGTACCAACTTTGTTGGTTCAAACTTAGTAACCGCTCATACCTGAATTGTCCCAGAGTAATCTCGCATAGTAAAAAAAGCAAGCTTTCCAAAAGTTCTCCGGGCCACAATTCTTCCTGATATTGAGACAAAATCATTCTCACTGTTTGACTCTTCACCATTCACTAGATCTCTATAAATCTCTTGCAACTGATTAGCAGTATGAGTTCGATCCCACTTGTAAGCATAGGGTTCTAAACCCTTATTTCGTAATTCCTGCACCTGCAAAAGAGCAAAATCCATAAATATTCACTTTGAGAACTAAGTTGTTATATCATTACTAGATAGCTACTCGTTCAATTGCCTAGTAATGAATAAGAGCATATTACTTGCGAGTGCAATAACTACTCTTTCTTTTACTAGTAAAACAAAATAAAATATCAGCTGCAGATAGAAATAATGTTAGCATTTAGTCTCATAAATAAAGAGCCATCCCAATCATAGTCTAAGTGTTAAATTGCACTTGTCTAAACTCCATCTTGTTTTAGTAAAATTAAAAATACATGAGCTACAGATAGAAATAATATTAGCCTTTAGTCTTAATGTCTTATACAAAAGTCATCCAAGCCATAGTCCAAGTGTCAATTGCACTTGACCAAACTCTATCAGTCAATCCATCCAACTTCTTAAATCCTGAACTCTTCATCGTCTTTGGATTCATGAAAGTAACGACAAAAATTCATCATGTCCAAACCCATAACTCAATATCTCAAATTCTACATAACAGAAAAAATATAAAGGTCACATTTTAGTGATGTGTAAAATCTAAAGATGCAAAAAAGGGAAGCTTTAGAACCAGAATGTGTGAGACTCGTCCATGTCAGATTGTTTTTATCCTTTAAAGTGCGCTTTTTGTAATGTTAAATCATTTAACATTATAAAGAAGAGTAGTTGCTGCAGTAGAAAATTAATTCTACATTATAAATTGTGCTTTTTTGTAATTTTCTACCATGGAGGTAGAAAATTATAAAATGATCATACCTTTTATAGTATTTTCATAATACGGAGTATAATTTTTTAATCAATACATTAATAACTATAATGATTTGGACAGGTTTAGAGTTTGCAACTATTAAGGAACTATGGCATTTACATAGATTAATAAAAACTACGCAATTTCACCCAAATCCCAACCAATGTGGAACAGTAACAATTTTGCAAGCTTCGTTTACCTTTTTTATGCGGATGGAGCGAATGGCTTCTTTGTCAGAGGTGGATGGGTTGGGGTTTGACGAGTACCGCCGGTTACTGCTAGCTGCTCTGTCGCGGACGGTAGAGGTCGGAACGCCAGAAGGAGAAGAGCAGCAACGGACAATAAAACAACAAGAAGGGTTTCGGGTTTGTATAGCTCGGCTAGACCTCAAGGAAGCAAAGTGGATGAGATTCTTGAACGGTTGTAGAGCCTCCATTTTTCTTGTAAAGCACTTGGCGACCGTATAATCAGGGGGAGGATCTAGCTTTGGCAAAAGGGGGGCAAATTTAATTAAATAAAGTATATTGAGAAAAAACATCTATTGTAACAACAAAAGTAAAGACAAAAATAAAAGTAATAGGAAAAAGAGTTTTCATTAAAGTCAAATACATCTATTGATATTATTCGATAATGACATCATTGTCAATACTTTATTAAAAATAAGACTAGTTACTACACTAATATTAATTCTTAATAATAATTAGATTAATAATTACAAATCACAAGTAAATTCATACTACTATAAATGATGATTACAACTTTATAAATAACAATCAAATTCATACTAAACAAGGCTGTAATTTAGTCTTTAAATTGAATTAAAAACACAATAAAACTAAAAACCTAAAATTAAACAAGGCTGTAATACTAAAGTTTAAACAAGGCTGTAATTAAAATTAAAGAACTTAATTAGCTTAATTAGTAGCTTACTCGTTAGGTAGTTCCGCAGGCCGCAGCTCCAGAGTCTCAGTTTACCACGGAAGAGCAGAACTGCAGAAAGCCAAAAACTAAGCAGTGAAGCAGTCCAAACTAGCAAACCGCCGTGCACCATCCAACTGTCCAAGTGTTGAGCGCCTGAACCGCCGTGGGCCGTCCAAGTGTGGAACTTAGGTTGGGATTTGGGGTTTTGCCAAAACGGAATGCTGCAGACTTCTAGTCGTCCAAGCTACTAAGCTAATTAAGTTCTGAACCGCCGTGCGCCGTCCAAGTGCACAGCCCCTTGACTAAACTAGTATATCACCCCTGCCATGCTGTGACGCTAAGGTATGATATTTTCTATAATAATTATAAGGAATCTTATTAATTCGGGACTCGAGAGATAAATACTCCGGATATTGGTATAGGATGTGAATGTTGGAAAACTATCTTAGACCTATCATTTCATAGGTTTTCATTTATTTATTCTTTTATTAATTTCATTACTAATTTTTTATAAACTTTTCTTCACAAAAAGTTCATTAGTTTAATAAAACTAAATAATATTTAAAATTTTCAGGAAAAAAAATCATGACAACTATATCAGACGGTTTTCAATCAGTCGAGTTCTAAATTGATTGTTTCTCATCATTCGAGTTTTATATCGATACATTTCATCTTTCAAGTCTTGAATTAATAATCGGTCTATCTTCAGATTCTGGATTAATAAAATTCCTGATTTTAATATTCTTAATTCTTAAAATAAAGGTGTAATAGTTCGATAATACTAAAATTATCGACAGACTATAAATGTGATTACGCAACCATGTATGCATTAATAAGTAACGGCCATTTAATGTATTAGCGGGTATCATTTTGGGAATTCAGAATTATGAATCCCGAATTGCAAATCCAAATTTGAGAATCCTGATTGAGAATCCAGATCAGCTTTTTAACATTCGGTTTAGGCATGGCAATGGGTCAGAGCGGGGCGGGTACTGCAAGACCCAAACCCGCCCTATGATTTGACGTGACGGGTCCGCCCCGCCCTGTGACTTGCACGGGTCCAAACTTGTTGACCCATGACCCGTTCCATGCGGGGCGAGTCCGCTCCGCCCCGCCGTAACCTAATTAGCTAGTATGTATTTTTATTTGTGAGAAATTGTTACCAATTGTCTACATAAAGTTTATCTTTAAATAATTATTAAAAATTAATATATTAAATCAAATTCACGATACGTTAGAAATTTCAAAAGTTAAGGAAAAATCACTTAGATTTCAATAGTTAATCTATTTAATTATATTAATACTTGAATATATGTATTAAAATGCTATATATAAAGAAAATATTTATAATCCGTCGTTCATCTCAATCTAGTATATACTGTCGTGTATATTATATATTGATATATTATAAGATCAAAGAAAAAGTATAGACACATATGTATGTTGAAGTATAATTTAAGAAAAAGTATGTATATACATATATATTGAGCGGGTCGGGACGGGGCAAGGCGGCACGGGTCAATACTAATACCCGGACCCACCTCATTGTATAGGCGGGGCGAGGCGAACCCGCCCCATTTGCAACACGGGGCGGGCCAGAACTGCCCCAAATGTCTCGGGCCAAGGCGGGTCATTGGGGGCCGGGTTTTGTTGACATCCATAATTCGGTTGAACAGAAGATTATCAATTTATCTTTATATATGTTATATTCTTTTTTTTTAAACATATGTTATTATATTTTTGAAAACCTTTTGTTTTCCTGTTTTGTTTTTAATCCGTTTCTCTCTCTCCTTCTTGACCGAACCAAGCTACCAAATGGGATGGCCCATCTCCCATATCTCCATCACGCTCGTGTCTCTCCTCTCCAGGTCGGCATCAGGTGGGAATCTTCTCCCTAGTCCGATGAGAATAGGTTGGCGAGCTCCAGGACAGCCCACCGCACAGATCCACGGCGAAACTCACCCAAGTCGTGACCGCCTCCCAGGTCGGCAATGCAACCTCCATAGAAATATTAACTAATAAAAATAATTAATTAATTAAATAGCCAAAGAAAAACAGAAAAAGAGATGGGATGGAGTTTTAGCCAGAGCTATGTCCTTAAAATGTATTCGTCGCCTCACACGATGCTAGGAGCGTTGCAACGACCGTTTCCCATGATACGGTGGCTAACGAACTAACGTTTGAGCACACAAACGAGAGTTCAGGTGAACGGGAACAAAGGAGAACACTCAAAAATTTTCGGAGTAGCTGGAAGTGTTTTAGAACTCAAAAATACGTGAGGAATGTATTGTGTTGTGTCTTGTTGCAAAGCACCTGCCAGCTATTTATAGGAGGATTTGTTATGTGTTAAATGTAGTGGTAATGGACCTGAAAGTTTGACATCAATGACCAGTCCGTTGGGCATTGAATCGTTCATAAACTGTCCATTTAACGCTGCATTAAAAGATAAGAACGTTGGACATTAACTTTCGTAATGGCAGTGATGGATGGCGTATCCGGGGGGTCGCTTATCTGAGGGGTTATTGTGGAGAATGACTAGAGAGAAGTCAGAGCAACAAGTAAAAGAGAGAGTCAAAATGTATTAAATGAACTCGTTGTGTCCTTTACAAGATGGATAAGGGCTGCTATTTATAGCAGCTATAAATGCGATGAGAGTACACATGTCAACAATCTAACGGCCGAGGGGTCAGCTCAATCGGGGTGGCATCGATATATGCATGTGCACCACATTAAATGCGGTGGGTGAATGTGACGTCGTATTAAATGTGGTGGTTGGCTGTCTCTAAAAGGAATCTTCATCGATAGTTATGTTGCTGAAGGCATCATGTGGCCGAAGGCATCATGTGGCCGAAGGCATTGTGTGGCCGAAGGCATTGTGTGGCCGAAGGCATCATGTGGCCGAAGGCACCATGTGGCCGAAGGCATCGGGAAGGCTAACATTTTAGCCAGGATTTTCCAAAAGCTTTGCAGGACCATATTAAGATGTCTCCCATAATTTGGAGCCCTCGGCCATAGGACCGAAGGCATCCACGTGTGCAACGTGGGATTCTTCATGTTTGGGTCGCTACGTTTGGGCTTTGTGTGCTCATCGGGCTTGATGGGCCTGTGTAGAAGAAGCAGGAGTCTATGGGTCGGGGTGTCTCGGGCCATATACTCCATCAGGAGTCCCCCACTCCTTTTGCCGAGAGTTTCTCGAGGGAAATAGGAGTAGTATCTTGAAGTTGCCGATGGCTCCCTTTCTGCAACTGAAGAATAAGAATTTTCAAGTTTGATTATTTTTGCTGAAGGGAGTAGATTGTCGTTGTGATCTTGCCTCAGCTTGCTGTAGCTGAGAAATAGAAAATTTTTAACATTTGCGTGTTTTGCCAAGGGGAGTCCGGAGTCCCCCAGTCCCCCACTCCTTTTGCTGAGAGCTAATCGAGGGAAACATGAGTAGAGTAATGCATGCCTTCAGCAGGAGCCGCCGAGGGGTGACGCCTTTTGTTCCACAATGGGGAGATGCCTCGTTAAAAACCTCATTAGGAAAAAACCCTATGGGAAAAAATCCTAATGAGGGAAAAAGAGTACATCGGATGCCCCCCCAGAATGAAGCAATAGGAATGCACCATTCGGCCTAGATTGTTGAGCGGTGGTTGTGTCCGTCCGCTGAGGGGATATCCAAGACCAGCCTTAGATCCTGCATGAAAAAGTTGAGGAGTCTGTAAGGACCCCTTGTTATCAAATAAAGGTGACGGAGGGGTGCAAGGCCAGGTGGGCCTGTGTGAGAGCCCCTGACATCAAATACAGATGCCGGAGGGATGGAGGTCGAGAGGTCTGTATGATAGCCCCTGGCATCAAATAAAGATGCCGGAGGGATGAAGGGTGAGGGGCTTGTGTGATGGCCCCCGACATCAAATAAAGATGACGGAGTGATGAAGGCCGATGGGCCTGTATGATCACCCCTGGCATCAAATAAAGATGTCGGATGGATGAAGGCTGAGGGCTTGTATGATAGCCCCTGACATCAAATAAAGATGCCGGAGGGATGAAGACTAGGCCGAGGGGCCTGTGTGATGGCCTCCGACATCAAATAAAGATGTCGGAGGGATGAAGGTCGATGGGCCTGTATGATAGCCCCTGGCATCAAATAAAGATGTCGAAGGGATGAAAGCCGAGGGCCTGTATGATAACCCCTGGCATCAAATAAAGATGTCGGAGGGATGAAGTCTAGGCCGAGGGGCATGTGTGATGGCCCCCGACATCAAATAAAGATGTCGTAGGGATGAAGGCCGATGGACCTGTATGATAGCCCCTGGCATCAAATAAAGATGCCGGAGGGATGAAGGCCGAGGGCCTGTATGATAGCCCCTGGCATCAAATAAAGATGCTGGAGGGATGAAGGTCGAGGGCCTGTATGATAGCCCCGACATCAAATAAAGATGTCGAAGGGGCGGAGACCGAGGGGTCTGTATGATGGCCCCAACATCAAATACTTGATGTCGGAGAGATGTAAGCCCGAGGGCCATTGTGATGCGGAATCATTCTGAGGCCGAGGGCCGTTGGTGATGTAGAATCACGTTTAGGTCGAGGGCCGTTCG